AAAACATTTCTCTCTTTAGGTATCAAGGGAGATGTACTGAGATACCCCCCCCCCTCCCCCGGAGGTAAGCTTCTGGTGACAGGAAATGGGGAATTTAAAAAAAATTTCGAAATCACTTGAATGGTTTTGAAGTCACGGACACAAGTCTAATGAAGCGATTTGACAATTTAAAAACAAAGCATATGAGTCATATATGGGTGACTCATATATGTTTTTCATATTAGTGTGAAAAATAGACTAGAACAACCCCAGCGTTTCAGATATCATTCTAAGGTTTTTAACATTTTTAAGGAAGCTCTTTGAAAAATTGGTCTATCTATACACGGGGTAGAGAAACCTCGACAGTCTCTTTTTGATGTTTTCAGCATTTAATGTTGATGAATGTTAAAAATCAGCTTGTTCTGTCACTGCTCAGGACGCATTTAGTTAAATATCATAGAACACCAGCTTGGCTGGATGATAAGAGAAAAGTATATGAAACGCTATTTATGCACACAGTATAAGATGAACGTCGAAAGCTGACTAAGCATTGGAAGCCAATGGCCATAATGTAATTTTAACATTTATGTACTTCGCACATAGAAACAGTGTTTCCGATAAACTTCTGTATCTCATCTTCTAGCCCAGGTTGACTCGAAAAGGACTTTCTCTTTTTTTTTTTTGTTTGAATTTTGCGCAAAGTTGCTCGAGGGCTATCTGCACTAACCATCAATAATCTGTAAGTGATTAAGTAGAAAGACCCCAGTTAATAAATATCACCCCCTGCCTACTCTAAGCAAATAATGAGATTAGTCCATCACTCTTATAACACACTCATGGCCACAAAGTGCAGAGCACGATTTTTATGCGCTAACGGGACGCGAACTGGGGAACCTTAAATCCACAGTCCACCAAGCTAACCACTGGGTCACATTGGGCCCCTTTTTTAGCTATTTTTTTATTAATGTTGTCTGAGAGATATCATATTTTGTAATAAAAACATTTTTACGATTATTAAAATCCTTAATATGTCCTCATAAGTATCTGAACCTTTTTGTGGATATTAAGCATGAGTGATTTTTTTACTATTATTCTTTATTAATCATCGAAATTTCAAAATTGCTTTTGATACACCAGTTACAGTATTTCCACAACTTAAAAAAAGGACGGAAGTTGTGCTATTATATGCACAGATAACAGTGCTCAATCATATAACCTGTTTACAAAACCACTATGATATGGACTCTTTTCAAACTACCGAGTATTTATGTTCATATATTTTAGATTTAGCTGTTCAGAAAGTTTTATTAATCACTACGACATCTGTCGGTTAATCTAGAAACTACATATTAATAAAAAAAAATCAATGAAACCTTCCTCCATAAAGTGTAACTAAAATATCTCGAAAAATCAATTCATGATAAACATATATATTTCACAATCGCACAGTTCCCTAAAACAATCAAAAGTACTCATGCTTTCATGAAACTAGACATAATATGGTAACGATTTTTAAACATGATGGTATGTTAGGGAGGGGGGAGTTTGAGCTAGAAGTAAATATGTTTACAGGTTGTATCGGTAATTAAGGATAATACATGCCTACTTCGAACACATTTAACAGACAATTCATACTTCCTCCAAGCAGTTATTATTGACAGTTTGTATCTATATTCCAAGCGTGTATTACTGGCATTGATGACTGTATTCCAAGTTATGTGCAACCTAATATTAAAGTTCTTAAAAAAGATTTGTCAGAATTAAAAAATATTGACTATATCTTAAGAAACGTTATCCTAAGTGGAAACTGGGTTTCAAAAAGTGACACTTTTGTTTTAAATTGTTGCCTTTAGAAACTGGTCAAGAAATTGACGAAGTTAAGCTTATGTGCAGGGTCAGTTGAGAACACACCTCTAGCTTAAACTTTTTTCAGTTGTTGTTGTGTAATTCAGTCAGTTCCTTGGCCAGCTTCAAAAGGTAACTACGTGGAACGAAAGTGACACCTTTTGACACAATTTACATCAGTTACGCACGCACACACAAAAACAAAATCAATTTCGTCAATTTTTTTACACAGCTTCAAGAGGAACTCAATATATCTGGTTTTTCATATTGTTCATTATGAACTCATTAACTGTGCCACTTTTTGTCTCTTTTGTTGTTGTTGTTTTTGAGACAGCCAAAGCCTCGTTTCAACATTTTAAAAGCCAATACAATCTGTATAGATAACACACGTAAACTTTATAGTGCATGACTTGTACGCATTATTGTTCATTCGTGAATGATTAGCGAACACACACGCAGAAAGTGGTGATATTTTCTTAACCATTTCGAGAGTTATTAACTTGAAACAACAGGGGATTGGGTTGAAACAGAGAAGTCATATACCTGTCCAGATAATTACAGTTTTAACACTAAGAAAACACATGTAATATTTAAACTTTTAAGAGTTAATATCAACTTATGTCCTTGCATAAGAATGTGATTCAAAAGCTTTCTACACTCTACACTAACGAGATTTAGGCCAACGATCATATGTACTTGTAGGTGCACCACAGTCAAACATATACGGGAATTTTTCGTGATTTCTTCATTAAAGTTAACAGTAAAAACAAAATTTTGTTGTTTTTTTCATTTTGTTTATTTAGTCAGTTGTCTAGAAACAATGCAAACAATATTAAAATTCTCATTATTCAAAGATTAATAAACAATAACTCGTTGGATAAAGTAAGTCCATGGGTTTCCTTACCCCCACCCCACCTCCCATACACAGGGAACATACAGCTTATAAAGGAATAAATTTTTATGCTTAACTTAAAAGAAAGAAACACAGACTTTGAGTGTAAAACCTTACAAAACTTAGACTTTAGATAAAATCGGCCAAACTTGGTAATTACATGAAGGCTATAGGTAAAACTAAACAAAACACGTTTGTGTTTTTACGCGCAAAATTGGCTATCTACTTGTTTCAACTGAGGGCATCGAATCCCGATTTTTTTTTTTTAGTGTTATGAGCCTGCAAGTTTACCTTTGAACCAATGGGGTAACAAAATGCGTAAACGTTCTTTGCAAAAACCATACAAAATACGTAAACCTTTTGCAAAATATGTACACTTACGGACAAAATATATTAACTTTACGTAAAAATTGCCAAACTATGTAAACATTTTGTAAAACTAGCCAAAAACAAAGAAAAACATTAACGAAACAAAACAACAACAATAATATAAACTTTACATAAGATCAGGCATAACATGGGAAATTTATGTGAGATATGATCTTCAACTTCTTTGGAGGCGTTTGATAATATTTTCCTATTTATTATTCAGTAGTAAATATGGCTTTACATCAACAAGGGTTAACAATTCAATTGCTTAAGGTTTTCCTTCAGAGCCGACTATTACTGATTTACACTATCGCCTTTAAATTATTTCAGTATTTGACTTGCATATTTCAACTTACTTTTGACTTTTGAATATAAATTTGAGTTTAAGTTTATGTTTTATTATTTGGGGTTAAATTAAATATTGTACGTGTGGTACAAGTTACATAATATATAACTAGGGGAGAGTCGCTCTTACTACGTGCTAACCAACATAATATGAACTACGAACAACATTATGTTAGGGAAGAGTTGATGTCACTACGTGCTATCCAACATAATATGAACTAGGAACAACATTATGTTAGGGAAGAGTCGATGTTACTACGTGCTATCCAACATAATATGAACTAGGAACAACATTATGTTAGGGAAGAGTCGATGTTACTACGTGCTATCCAACATAATATGAACTAGGAACAACATTATGTTAGGGAAGAATCGATGTTACTACGTGGTATCCAACATAATATGAACTAGGAACAACATTATGTTACTGTGATATTTAACAGGCTTAAAAAAATACTTAACCTTCATGCTTCTCAGCATACTACAAACTAGACAAGAAGCAACATGTGAATACTTACCTTAAGTTTAACATGTGAATACTTACTTTAAGTTGTGCTGTTATAATGTAAATACACCATAATAAATATGCATTCACTTACGAGTTAACAAATAAGTAACAAAAATGACCTCGCATAATTTCATGTCAATATTTTTTGAAATCGTTTACTCATTTGGATATTTTTCCATATCGTAACCAGACGACTATGAATTCGAAAAACAAACAAACAAAAACATTATTACTACTATTTAATGTACATTTTAAACGAATTGTTCAATCTTTAAAAAAAAAAGGGGAAAATATATTAAATAATAAATAAATTCTAACTGGTGTATTTAGCTCAGTGGGATTCTAGGTTAATTTGTGACCACGACCCGTTTGTTTACTGATTACTTTTGCACTAAGTCAAGCGGTACAAGTTGCATTGTTTCAATGAACTAGTTTTAAGTTAAAGGGAAAATGAAATCAGGTGAAATTTAAGTATCAACAATAGCTCAACAACAATATTTTAGAAACACCTCGGTAGTATGCTCCAGAATGTTTCACTCTCATCCAACAATAGTTTGACGAATCAAGTTTACAATCTAAGTTCCCAAACGTACGTTCGAGAAATTTACTTTCGCATACTTTTACATTTATTTATATCACACGATAAAAAATACTTTAAAACACGTCAAACGAGAAACTGTGAACATTCAACATTTGTTTCATTCCACGTCCCTTAAATATCTTTAGGCGAAATCTAGGGAGCGCTTCATTCTTAAATGTATCACAATTTAAATTGTGCATCAATTTTATAAACACCCCGTGTTTCCAATAATGCAAAGCCACTTTTAAATCAAAATGATTGGTTAACTTACTGGAAATAAAACAACGAGTGTTTTACTTGGTTTTCAGCCTAGATATTATAAACAACTTTCATATATATATATATATATATAATATAAGTTATAAATAGCTAATAATACAGGCTTGGAAATAAGTTACTTAAAACTAAAATTGACTTAAAGAATTATATACCTTTATATTTTTATTATATGGTATATATATCTATATACACACACGCGTGCATTTCCAAGCTTTAAAAATCTTTAAATTTTAATCATTTTTAACAGGTATTCTGAAAACTTTGTGACTGGCCATGAATCAGCTATTTTATGAAAAACAAACTCAAAACACTTCAATTCCTTTGTAAAATTATCGGTTTGTGTACAGGTCTGTGGAGAAATCAATAGAGTGCACACCAGTATAGATATATGCAATCTTATATATATATATATATGCACTCAACAAACGTGCAAGAGTGAGACCCTAGACAGCTATAAAGTCAAGGGCTAGAGTGAGTCTGCCACCAAATTATTCACAGGCCAACTTGTTGTCGAAGCTAGAGAGAGCAATCCCGAAGGCTTGAAGGGCACACATCGGGAATCTGTAGTCCATCGTGAAGACGTCTTCTGCAACCCGGCCAAACTGCATCACTATATAATCCACTAGGAGAAAATAACATATTCATATAACCTCTCCTTCGGTGCAGCATATAAGTAATTATAACATCTCTTCCTGTATACAAACCATTGTTTCGGTACGATATACACATCACATTACGTGTATTGACTGAAATAGACATGAAATGCACCCTTCCGTAACTAGTTTAGAACATATACCAATGGCTAGAAACTCATAACACTGCTCCTGTCTGCATCTGACTTCCTCATCTAAATAGGTGATAAAGATACTTGTACAAATTGGTAACATACTTTTACATTTATCTGAACTTAGGTGGTAAATCAGAATTTTTTTCTTTCATTATTTTGCGTGGACGTGTGTAAAGAGACTCCTTTCAGCCCCAGAGCCAGTACTGACACTACAGAGATCAGCCAGTCAGGTAAATGTACATTACAAACAATAGTTGTGAATAAAAGATATTTTGTTTATTGCTTCATTTGCATTTGTTTCTTTTCTTTGCTAGACGAGTTCTAAATTATTCTCCGCAGTATATTTACTGAACCTGCGTTTTGTGGATACTTTTAAACTTTTCTTTTGGACATCAGTGTACCTTAACACCACATAGGTCTAAAAAAGTGATGAAGATCACGTTGGACTAATTTCACAATATTTGAAGTTTTACACTAGCATACCACTAACATTCTTTTACAGTATACAAATGGCATTTCAGACAGATTTTTGACCTGATTTAGTTCATGTCTTTCTGATAAGTTTGAGAAATGATTTGTGCAGATTTGATGTAGGTGTGAAATGCTATTTTTAAAGAGCTCTGATATGAAATTGATAATGGACAAATTACAAGCAACATAAAGAATATACAGTAAAACATATCCTTCATTCTATTTGTTAACATTAAGCCTGATACAGAGGGTTGAGTACATTATACTAAAATTATTTTTAATAAAAAATTAACAAGTAATTTGACAACTAAAGTCAGTATAAAGTCGCAGTTGAACGGGATATATCAAAACTATAATTTCACATTAGTTTGAAAATTCAACTTAATTCGTAACTCAGGATAAACACTGTAAAGGGATGAAACAAAAACTCACCATCGTTGCGATGCACGATCTGAAAATTCTTGACCGATGCTTGAGTAACACGGCCATGAAAATTCAAGACATAAGAATGAGTATCTGTAAGACAAAGTAAGTAGAATTTCTTATAAAACCATTCGCACATTGCGTGTTTCTGTGCTTGGTTTCTTTTAGTCTTATGAAATGAACATTTATTGGTGTAATGTTAAAGAAGTTGAAAATTTTAAACCAATTGTAACTTCCGAATATATCTTAGCAGCTTTCCTAAGAGATGGAAACAACCATCACAATAAAAAAAAAAAAAACATTTAAAAATATTATTTTGGTGTACCTAAGAACATTAAAGTTTATAGTTTAACCGTTTTTTTTTTAATAAAAATGTTACAGAGTGACTTACATTTCAGAAAGAAGACGAAACAGAAAGTTTGTTTTCCATGAACGAACTAGTTGTAAATGAGATTGGGTGCTAGGTCACTTTTCCTCCCCAGTGACACAGCGGTATGTCTGCGGACTTACAACGCTAGAAATCTGGTTTCGATACCCGTGGTGGGCAGAGAACGGATAGCCCATTGTGTAGCTTTATGATTAATTTCAAACAAACATAGGCCAATTTTTTTGATACCACAAATCAAGATAAAGTTTGTTACTTTCAATCTCAAGACATGTACATGTACAGAGGTATTTTATTGTTCTTTTTTCAAAAACAAATGTCAATGGAAAACAATTTCCTGGTTATTTAGCAAAGGAAAAGAACAAAATTCAGCCCGTGCAACCATAATATCTGATTATGTAAAACTGTGTTATTTGACTTGTGTTAGATATCATACTATTAAAAATAATGAACAAATATTTCTTCCTAAAACCGGTGAAGAAAGTATATTTGAAATTATAAAAGAACATTAAATTTGTCTAGCAAATGGACCCTGTTTGTGCTAGCCAAGAATGACGTTCTAAAGTCTTAGCAGTGTTATTGTAATACTGTCACCATTTTCATCTTAAAAAACTTTGCGATACGCCAGATTTGGCGTTATAGACATATAATCATAATGGATAAACAATTGTCTATTCAATTGCATATATAAACACGCAGTCTTTTGCTTTACATTGAAATTAAATAAAACCTGTTTAATTATGGAGGTAAATTTTATATAATAAAAATAAATAAAAGCTTTTTGCAAAATAACTTTACATATTATCAATATACTATAAAATAAATAAACACACAAAATGAAAATATCTTTACGTCATCTATATAAACAACAACAGAAATGTTTTCTAGTGTCGAATATCGTTAAAAGTTTGTTTGAAGTTAAGCACAAAGTTACACAAAGGGCTATCTGTACTCTGTCCACCACGGGTATCCAAACCCGGTTTCTAGCGTTGTAAGTCCGCAGACATGCCGCTGTGCCACTGGGATCGTTAAAAGAAAAATGAAAATTTCTAGCGAATGTTTTAAATAACTTTGTATTGGCATCGTTTATTATATCTAGTAACCCGTTAATCCTTTATGATAGCATCTTAATTAAGCTAGAGTACGAACATATTACTTATGTAGGTATAACAGTTTATGGTTGAAATAAATCTGAAATGAAAATTAAAATTAGAATAAAGTTCTTCAAAAGATTACGGCTGGAAATATTGTTAATAGTGAGGTTCCTCAAATGTTGATTCAATGTATTCTAAACGGACAAGGTTTTAGTTTGCTTGGTGTTAATTGACAGCGTTATGTACTTCTTGTTAAATTGTTGCGTAGAATTTGGTTCATTAACTTATAAGCTACGTTTTAGTTCTGATATACAGGGTTAGCTTGCTTGTACCAGAAATTATTAATAGCTATAATAAAAAATAATTTTTTTCTGAAGAAAATTTCATGATTATATAAATATTTTGTCAGAGGGTTAACACGAAGACAGTGTTTAATTATATTATTGGACCTAGCGCGGCACAATAGTTAATGTGTCAGACTGTGGATCTGAGGTTCCATTTTTTTTTTGTGTCTCGTTACCACCCTAAGTGAGTTCCAAAAGTGATAATCAAATCAAATAATTCGGTCTGATAAAAGTAACCCAAGGACCAGGCATTGTCATGTGGTTAGGGCGTTTGACTCGCAATCTGAGGGTCGCAGGTTCGAAAACCCGTCCCACCAAACGTGTTCGCCCTTTCAGCCATGGGGACCTTATAATGTGATAGTCAATCCCACTATTCGTTGGTAAAAGAATAACCCAAGTGTTGGCAGTGGGTGGTGATGACTAGCTGCCTTCCTTCTAGTCTTTCACTGCTCAATTAGAGACGGCTAGCGCAGATAGCCCTCATGTAGCTTTGCGCGAAATTAAAACTAAACCGAGTTGGCGATGGGCAGTGTTAACCAGCTGCCTTAACTCTTATAACTTCAAAATTAGGGACAGATAGCGTAGATGGTCATCGTATGTCTTTGTGCAAAATTCAACAAACAAATACCGATTTTATTGTACTTTTAAAGTAATTAAATATTCTTAATACAGTAAGACCCCGCTGAGGGCCACCCCTATAAGCTGATTCGTTATAGAGCTCTTGTCTCCTTGGGAGTTTGTTTTCTTTTTTTCCAAGAGAGAGAGAGAAAAAAAAATTATGAAAATCCATAACTCTCTGAACACTAATTTTTCATATTAATGGTAATAGTGCATTAAATAATTTTTATTTAATAGAATAATGCAATAAAGAAGATAGAATAATAACATGCAAAAAAGCAAACAATTTCTCTTAACTATCACAATTTTTCTGGCGTTTCTAGTGACCCAATATGAACCATTAAAATGTCATCCATCTATACAATATCGTCCCCGTAGATAAAACAACATTTTCTCGAGTAACGATCTACAAATCTCTGTACAGAAAACAACGTAATATAATACGTTATTTGATAGACGAAAATCTTGCATGTCTATTGGTTATAAGTAATATAGTCGTAAACATAAGAGAGAACAACATGTATTGACAAATCCTGAAAGAGAGGATGTGACAATTGTGCGTGGTAGAAGGGGTCTGATTTTCTATTTGATGACTCTGTAACCAAACAAGATTGAAGGCTAATAAAAATTTGCTTTTTTCCAGCACGATATTATTGTGAGTAATTTACGTTAAATTTACCAGTAGCTAAATAAAGCACTTGTACATCATTCATAGGTAAGAAACAATACCTTCAGTTACATATCTCCATATATGTAATGTTAAAATTACCCTGTTTAGAGCTGATTCGTTTAGTGCCCTGTTCTCAGGAACCCTTCCTGAGCACTAAACGAGGTATTACTGTATTGATAAAAGTGGGGGCAATGTGGTTTAGTGGTTAGTGCTTTAGGACTCGACGTCGAAAGGTTGTGAGTTCAAGGCTTGCCCAGGACATGAAGTTATGTCTTTGAGCAAGGAAGCACTTTACCTCAGACTTTCCAACAAGTGTCTGCTTTTCTAAGTCAATTAAGCGCTTAATTTGCAAGAGAACATGTTAACTTACGAGATTTAACAAAAGTGGGGGCTGTATCATGTCATTTTAATGAAATACAATATTATCAGCATTAACACCATAGCGACTTTTTAACTTATCACAAGCTAATTTAAATCTTTCACGAGTTCAGTAATGTACGACATCTTTATTCGTCAGATTCACGAAAGATTTTCCAACCATCAGTTCTCAGGACATGCCAGTGTTTGGTTCCATTCTGTTACAGTCACTAGATGTAGATTCATTCCTAAGTATTCATGAGTATTTCTTGATATTACAATAACTGACCTTCTTATTGTAACTGGAAGTTCGACATCTAGTGTTCTAATTGTTAGGCAGTGCACAAGAAACCTTTCAGCGGCACAGCGATATGTTTGAGGACTTTCAATGCTAAAAACCGGGTTTCGATAACTGTGGTTGGCAGAGCACAGATAACCCACTGTGTAGCTTTGCACTTAACTTGAAACAAACACAAGGATTTCCTGCTCATAGGCTGTGAAGCTATTTGAAGCTAGCCTAATCTAGCATCCATATTACACTTGAAATGTCCGTCTTATGGCTTATTTCTCTCATTCTGTGTAGCTAGTTCTCTAACTAATCCTCTTAGTTCTTCTAGAGTCTAGAACAGTGCTTACCAACCTTTTCCAATATGATTCACCCCTATACGTTTTTTTACAACAGCTCACTCATCCCAGTTCGAAAAAAGACAAAAGTATTAAATTAAATTTCTTTATTATGACTTAAATATACACCATCCTACCAATAGTCATGGGATACACCTCTGATTGCACGAAAAGTGGTGTGACGACGAAATAGGTAAACAGTGTGGCTTATAAATGTGATCAACTGTTCGCTCGGAAGTCATTTCGAACTTGTACACCGAACAATAAGTACACTGAAAGAGCTAACAGAGTTTCAGAGGAGAAGGATAGTTGGATGTCATTTGGGGAAAATGTGTGTACGTGCTATTGTGCAACAATTAAACATTCCCAGGTCGACAAGTGGCAACGTGCTGAAGAAATAGAATTCCACAGGTGACAATGAGCCCAAGAAACGACCTCATCTCGTCGTCAGATCTTAGAGAATCTGTGTTTGGAGATACTAGCAGCCCCAGGCAATCCTATAAGTGTCGAGAGATACATACCATTAATTTTCACGGAAGAGCTGCAGCCCACAAACCGTTGATAACAAAAACAAATGCACACCGTCGACTGGCATGGGGCAAGACACACCGAATCTGGACCGTGGATGAATACAAGTCAGTCCTGTGGAGCAACGAGTCAGGCTACACGCTCTTCCACTCTGATGGACGTGTTTGGGTATGGAGGTTGCATGGAGAATGCTCACTACCTGAGTGTGTTGTTCCAACAGTGAAGTTTGGATGTGGCAGTATCATAGTCTGGGAGTGCTTCTAGTGGTATGGTCTAGGTCTACTGGTTGCAGTGCATGGATCCGTGAACGCTGAGTCCTACGTTGATATTCTGAACAATTCTGTGTCCTGCATTGTGGTCATTTTATGGTACCGGCCCTTACACCTTCCAATATGATAATGCTCCATGTCACAAAGCAAGGACTGTGAACGCGTGGGTTGAGGAAAATAACATCAGAACATTGCAGTGGCCAGCACAGAGTCCCAACCTCAACCTGATAGAACATCTTTCGGATGATCAGAAATGCAGAATTAGTGCAAAGCGAAGACAGCCCTCTTGAGTAGTGGAGCTTATTAATGCTTTAAAGGAGGAGTGGACCACAATACCACCAGCTTTCTACCAGCAATTAGAAATTATTAGACAGTCTTCCACGATGCATTGAAACAGTCATTAAGGCCAAAAGCGGGTCAACATGTTATTAATTTCTTGTAATAAAAACATGTTTTATTCATAACTACCCGTGTCCCATGATTTTTGGTAGGATAGTGTACATTAAATTACAACTAGAATGAATACAATATATAATAAATGCATTTATCAAACTACAACTAAGATAAATAGTAATAACTAATGACTTTTGTGCTCTTGAATTTGACGTATAATTGATAATACTCATCCATCCTGCCATTCACCACTTCATTCTCATTCACCCTGATTCTGATCTCAACAACTCCTGGGTGAACCATTCACCCAGTCGAGAAGCACTGGTCTAGATTATAGAGAGAGTCGACGTTTCATCACTACTTGCTCTGATGATCCTGTAACTTCTAGATGGTGCCTTTAATAGATTCAAGTTCCCTCGCTAACTGCACAGCTTATTTGACGTACACCATCTTTGCTTCAACCTAATTCTCACATCATGGTTTGTTAAGGCATCCATAAATTGATCATGTGCTGAATAATCCAGAATTTCACATCGAGCATCTGAGTAAGATAACTGGACAAACCTTTCCAAATTGTTTGCAAGTTTGATTAAGGTCTCTTCTTTCCTCCGTACCCTGTTCTGAAACTTTGCTTTGGATACTTCCTTCTGGTGTGTTACTTCAAACCTGTTGGATAAAGCAGCTACTAATGCTTGATAGTTGTTATGGCTCTCAGATGAAAGGTTATTTAATGTCATTAAAGCTGGTCCTTTTAAATGGACAGTAATATGAATAGCTTGTTGTTCACAATTCTTCCAGTTCACTCTGGAGATTATTTTCAACTGAGCCTGGTATGCCTCCCATAACACCTTTCCACCATAGTCCATTGGTTTCTCATTTGGGCGAAATTATGGAACTTGATTTGATAGAGTCATGGCTGAATAGGTCTAGGAAGGTCATGTGGTCACAGATGGCACAGAAGTAGTGGTTGCAAGTGTACATTAAATAGGTTATTCTATTTCATATTTAATAGTAAATTCAATTTGGATCTCTTTGGCGGATTCAAAATTAAATGGGGTTGGCTTGATCTTCGCATTTATCAGTTCTTTCTCCAAATATTTTATGATGCCATTGATTACTTTTGCATTTCTTTGATTTTGTCATTACTGCTTTCCTATTCTCGCTCACATCTTTCTCCAAGTCTTATTCTTCTTTTAATTTTCTCTCAGTTTCCATAAACCACCAAAACAAAACAAAAAACACGCTTTCTCAAAAACCAGGTGTACAACTAATAACTACTTAGGCCTGCTATGGTTTTATTGTCTTGAAATTTTTGCATGTAATTCAGGTACGCTGAATCCGAAAATGATATCCATTTTTCTCCATCACGTACAGACTTTTCACAAAACGTCATAACGCAATACATAAAAAAAGACCACAACACATAGTTTTGAGACTAAAAGACGTAGATTTCACACACAAAAAAAGATCAGAATGAATGAGGATGCATATTCGTTTGACATCAACGTTTTTCCCTTTTCTTCAGTTTGTTTGTATTTTTGTTAACAAACATAGTAATAAAAAATGTTCGTTGTGGTAAACGAAATAATAATTTGATCTAAATAAGAGTTTTGTTTCTTCCCGATTTGTAAAAAATCCTTACGTGATAGAAAAAATTAATATTATTTTCGAGATCTGCGTAACAGAATTATTGAAAATCCTTTATTAAAACCAAAACAACTTTTATGAATTTACATTCGCAAGACTGTGCTTTTTAGTACTGCCCCCAGTGGCACAGCGGTATGTCTGCGGACTTACAACGCTAGAATCCGGGTTTCGATACCCGTGGTGGGCAGAGCACAGATAGCCCATAGTGTAGCTTTGTGCTTAATTACAAACAAACTGTTAGTACTAAGGCAAAAGCATATTCGGATGCAATAAATTCTGCATTAGATAATAAAAAGAAGAAAAATCCTTAAAAAAGACCAATATAATAGAATGCAACTTAGACAAAAATGACATTCTATCGGAATTAGTTGCAGTATTACAACTACAAGTCTCATTTGTGGGCATGTCAATGGGTTTTGGAGGTAATTCTGTGGCTTTATTCAAATTTTGTAGACAGATACTCCAAAATGCTTGATGGAAAATGCTCTGTGGCATATTATATAAAGCACTGTATAAAATATAAAGAATCATAAGCATGGATAGTATCGGAAAACTGGTATTATTTACACTAGTGATTTTTCTTTTAGTCGTTACATTGTTGTAAGGTGTATTTTTAAATTTTCAATTTAGATGGTTGTTTCCTAGAAGGAGCTAATCATGATAATATATCTAAAAGTTCATAAAACTGTAGAAACTAGTAATTTTGTGGAGTATGCAGAAAAGCAAAGGAATGATATAAATACGAGACCCAGCAAAATAATGAATTAATGAACACTTAATTAGTTTTTATAGGTGATTCAGGTCAGTGTTAGTAGTGAGAGTTATCGCATCCATTAACAAGAAAACTCTGTAAGTTTATTTGTAAGTTAGGCGTAAGTAACATTAGTATCACAGTTTCTATTGAAACGTTCTTTGCGAACTTGGCCTACAACTTTTGTAAAAGTAAGCATAGCCTGTAGCAAACGTTATTGAAGAAAGAAAGATCATTCACCAATGTGTTGTTTACTGAACCGGGCATTAATTTTATGAAGTAATTCAAAAGAACCCGCCAAATAACACAACACATTACAAAACTGTTGTCAGAAGGGAGATTATTTTGGTGAAAATAAAATAGAACACTTTTCCTAAATTTCAATTTGACAACTCGATCACGAAGCGAGATTGAAACTTTGATTGTTTAATTGTAATTAAGCACAAAGCTACACAATGGGCTATCTGTGTTCTGCCCACCACGGGTATCGAAACCCGGATTCTACGTTGTAAGTCCGCAGACATACCGCTGTGCCACTGGGGGGCTTGAAACTAGATATGATGAAATAATTAAAAATAGGTCAAGAAGAAAGTGAAAGAAAATTAAGAAACGAAAGAAACAGAAAATTGAAAGAAGACCAAGAATAAATTTGTTTCTACTCATTCTACCGTACTTTTGCAGATGTTGCAGCCTAGAATGTAACATGCACCTTGAAATTATCAGTTAAAACTCTCGATAAACTAGTTTCACTCCAATTCTTTTATTTTGCCAATGGCGCAATGACAGCGACTACCTTGTGTAATCGCACATTCTACACGAATTCTCGCAGATCACGTTAACTCACCTGTATAATGGGTAACAGCGGTTAGATTTGGTTAACCTGCTATGGTTTGTTTGTTTTTGAACTTTTCGCAAAATTTCTCGAGAGCTAACTGCTCAAGCCGTCCCTAATTTAGCAGTAATATACCAGAGGGAAAGTATCTAGTTAACACCACCCACCACCAACTCTCGGGATTCTCATTTACCAACGGATAGTGGGATTGGTAACGCCCCCACGGCTAAAAGGGTGAGTATGTTCGGTGACAGAGATTCGAGCCCCCAAGATGCAGATTGCGAGTCAAGCGCCCTAATCACCAGGCCATGCCATGCCATGCCGCCTGTGGTGAAATGACATCTTATCCAGGGGGTTTGTGTCATCATTCTTATCCAATTATTCTACAAAAAAAACCTGGTTAAGGATCAGCCTTATCTGCTTTTCGAAGCTGCGATAGGGACTATCTGTTGTTTTTTTTAGTTTTTTTTACCTCATTATAAAGTTTACATTACCATTATTCCAAACAGGCAATTTGTTGTGTAGGTCCAGTAGATTGTCCATATTTTTGTTCTTCCAGCTTTCTATTAAACCACCACCTTCCTGAAAATATAGAGACAAACAGTTATGAAGAGTGTTTTCACAAACAACTCTACAAATGCATTGTTGAAAAAATGAATAAAAATAACTGAAAAAACCGCATATCTGTGCCTAGGCTACTATATTCGTTTTTATATTATTACTATTTTTCCCCAAAAAGAAAGTTATTGAATGCACTGTTTATTAAAAAAAAAGAAGAAGGAAAGATTTTGAAATTCATAAGATATTGTTACGTCTCCGTTTGTTAATTGATTTTTCCGTAACTTCGTTCCGACGAAATTTTAACGACACAAGTCTTTACTTAATAAAACGGGTTTATTCTTT